TTCCTCTGAGTTGACACTCCTCTTTGTAGACTGGACACTGGTTCAAGTCCAAGTCCATCTGGTGGGGCTGAACAAGATGACAGATGACTCTCCACAGTTACAAGACATTTTGAGAGATGTTCCATAGTCCTCTGGAACTTAGTTGACCTTGGAGGTCAAGGGGCAAAAACTGTCCTTTTAGTCCCTCTGACCACATTAGTATAGGCCTCAAAGTATGGCTGTTAAACATCCAATAAGTTTAGTTCCACCTGGTCCAGTACTTTTAATTATCATGTGCTTTGTATTTAAGGCTTCTGTAAAAAATCAAATATTCTCAGATAAACCTTGACTACATATATACTTTGTTCCTTAGACTAGTTGACTATACTATGACCATAGACATTTTAAGATTATTTGTATATTATTTTGGTCTCATCCTTTATATAACATAACAAACCTACACAGACCTTTTTATTCTTAAACTTTGAGACAGAGTCTCACTGTAGCCCCAGCTAGTCTGGAGCTCTCTATGCAGACCAAGCTGGCCTCAATCTCACAGAGATTCACCTGCCTCTGCCTCCTGAGTGCTGGAAGCAATTGCTTGCACCACCATCCTTGGCCTCTCAATTTTTTGTCCTCTTCTTCGCTTATTATTTTACATATACCTACATGCACTGAGCCCATTTACTGTTGCTCATATGTACCTGTGTGTGGGGCTGTTGACTTGGGATTAGATAACCTCCCAGGGAGTTTGTCCCTAGAGAAAACTGATTCTTCTTCCCTCCCTATTCATTGATTACCTGAAGCTCTTCATCTTGAGGTGGGACCTGTGACATGTCCTTCATTCACTATGGCATGAAAACTGGTTTTGTCATTATGCAGGTCTCATTAGACTACCACACTGTAATGATTGTATCATAGCTTCCCTATCATGTTTGGAATGTACTAACTTGCATTCTCGTCCCTCTGGCTCTTACAGTCTTTCCTCCCCCTCTTCTGCAGTGTTCCCTGAGCCTTATGTATAGAGGTTGATTTGTAGATGTCACTTAGGGCTGGGCACCTCAAAGTCACTTTTTCTCTGCATTTGACAAGTTGTGGAACTGGTAATATATCTGTTACAAAAAGGAGCTTCTTTGATGTGTGGTGAAAAGTATGCTTGTCTGTAAATATAAGGATACATATTTAGAATAGAGTAAGAAATTACATTGGTCTAAAAGTGACAAGTAGATTCTTCCCTAGGCTCCATGAGCACTGCAGCCATGTGTACTTGGCTATGTTTGCAGGACCACATGTGAATTCCATCCCATTGGAACTTAAGTTCAATTAGACAGTTCTTGATTACCCCGAAGATAAAAGTACCGCTAATGCAACAATAAAGATAATTTGCTTGGCCAGTCATTGCTGTGGTTCATAGACTTTACAGATGGGTAAGGTCATTGATTGGTTTTCTCTCTTGGCAGATTATGCAGAATGACAGAATTGGATGTCATATTTTCTCATGTGCCATTCTATGAATTATCAATCATCTAACTATTGGAAAACTGCATCACAATATAGAGACACGTAGTTGATGGGGAGAAGGAAGAAGGGACTCTTTAGGAGTTAAATAAGCATGGGCCCATAGTCAGGATTTGACTTACATTCTCCAGGTTGACTTTTAAACACAATCTTTGTTAGAGAACAAAAAAATAAAATTGCTTACTTACATGGCCTTAGAGCTTTGTAGCCCTCAGAGCTTGTTCAGAATTTAGCTCTGCCCAACTTTTGTTTCATATACATTTGTTTTTTAGGGTGAAAGGCATAATTTAGAATTGTTAAGTCACATGATTCATGAATATACTATATACTTGGTGATTTTAGTAAGTTTTAGGATTTTTTTAAATTATCTCAAAGCAAAATGTCCTTGCTGTCTTCTCATGGACTTGGAATGTTACCGACAAGAAGAGAGAGCATGATGGAGTTTGGGCTGAAGCAGTTCATACACTAGAGTTGTCTGAAGACCAATGTAAGATGTGGCAGCTAAGTGTACTTTCTGGCATCATAAATTTTAGATATGTATTAAGCACTCATATATAAATATATATAAAATGGTTTAGAGATTAAATCCAGGCATTAAAATGTGGAGGCCGCTATGCTGATGGCCTTTAAAGCCCTGTGACATTTCACCACCAACACCACAGAAAGCTTTATCCTGGCAAAATTATGCTTCATATCTAGTATTTTACATTTCTACATTATGCATTCTTCATGTACATAGCTAATTGTGTCTGATGGTTCCATTTATTTGTAATAATGGAAATAAATTTTTATAATGATTTTCCCTCCACCTTCTGCTTACTTTTGATAAAATTTCACCAACTATTTAACTTTGTTTCTCACTCCATTATATACTTTAAATAAAGGATCCTGGGAAATGAAATTCATGTGTATTCATTTAACATGCACCACAGTGCTGTGTTGGCAGTGATGGACTTGGGAGTTCTAAGCAGAGCAGCTGAAGCCCCTGGAACCAGGCACCATTTTTTCTGTGGCACCCAGTCAGTGTGCAAAGCCATGTGGGGGCATTCCCTGGCTCCTCCTTCCCGCTGTTCATGTTACTCCCTGCCTGATTCACTGTGCCTTCCTTTCTTTCTGTTTCTAACTTTGTAGTATGATCTTTTAGCCATTTCTCTTTGATAATCATCAGAGCCTGGCGGTAAGGCCCTGCTGCTAAAGACCCCACACACTGGAGTCACACGATATTGAAGAATCAAGCTGTTATGAACCTGGAAGCTTCCTCTCTACTGGATGGCTCTAATAATGTCAGAAGTTGCTACGCAGGCTATTGGGGAGGAAAAGTAATCAACAGTCTTACCCAGATGTGAACTCTGATCTAGGAAGACAAATCCATGGAAGCAATAGTGTAGTGAATGTTATAGGGGAGACCAATAAATTTTTGATTGGGGTTAAAGCATGCTTCAGAGATATTTCTTTTCTAATATTTTATTAATTAGTTTTACTTTATGCATATGAATGTATTGACTACATGTATGTAAGAGTACCCATGTTTGTACAATGCCTGCTGAGGTCAGAAGAGGGAATTGGATTCCCTGGAACTGTGAGTACTGGAAACTGAACTCAGGTGCTATGCAAGAGCAGCCATTATTCTTAACCACTAAGCCATCTCTCTAGCCCCATGATGAGATTTCTTAAATCTGAGTCACTGGGCTTTACTTAGCACCATATTGTCCTATTTATTCCACATTTCTATTGGGAGTCTATAGGAATCCCAAACAAAGTTTAGCTTCAGGTAGAAACTCAATCTCACCATGGGTCTGGTGTGTTTAAGACTCACATTGTTTGAGTTGACTCATTGGGCTGAGGTTTATATGCCCTCTCTTTTTTTTTTTTTTTTATTTCCTCTTCAGCCTTTGGAGGACTTGTACCAGATTACAATTTCAGTCCATTTAAAATCCATTTTCCAGGGATAGAGAGAAAACTCAGCAGTTAAGAGCACTGGCTGCTCTTGTGGAGTACCAGGGTTCACTTCCCAGCATTCACATGGTGGCTAACAGCTATCCATAAATCCAACTCCAAGAGATTATACCCCTTCTGTTTGCCCACGCTGGTACACTTACAAACAAGTAGGGAAAAAAAAATATATATATATATACATAAAATAAAAATTAAATGTAAATAAATCCTCCATTTTCCATAGAGTCAGGTGTCTGTGCCAACACAAGATCCCAAATAAGATTCTTTCTGTTCATTCTTTGAAGGCAATATTTTCCATGACCCAGAGAAGATAGGATTAAAGTTCACAGATCAGTTTGAGAGTCTGATCTCTGACTTGGACCCAAATTCATTCTTACATATTCTTTATGAATATTCGAGCACTCCTTTAGTGTGGGGCATGTGTTTCATACTGTTTAATGTTGTACATTTTCAACTGTATTGACTATGTTGCCTTGCTTTCATTTGGTTTATGGAAACTAATAATCAAATTCTGTTTCATCAAAGAATGAGAAGACTATGCACAGAATATGAAATAATTTGCATGAGATTCTCCAAATGGTTCATCTTTAACAACTATTTATTTTATAAATCAACGTCTATAATCTCTGTGCATCTTTCATTGTACGACCATCTGTTGCTATTACCTGTTTATGGAACTATCCTCGCCAGAAAGATTAAATGTTGGAATTTGACACGATTCAGGAACAAATCATAGCACCTAACACTGTGTCTGGCATTGTAGAGGTCTTTGGAATGACAAGACAAAGTTGTGAATGAATGGGCTGTTATATATTAGTAGACACATACATACAGTTGTTTTAGGGCTATAAAACATTGAAGCAATATTACAGCTTGCAGTATTTACTGCTTTCAGCTACGTATAACTGGAATCATAGAACCATAGGCGTCCTGACTATCTTTAAGTGCAGACAGTGAGTACTGATACCAAGTAGGGTTACATTTTCATGAATGCATCTTCACTGGCACTCTTGCTTTCACACACACACACACAAAATGAAGACATTTTAAAATTGTAAATGATTTACTTTTAAAATGTAATTTAATTTTAAAGTGGATCAGATGGATCTGATTCTTTCATATTCTGCACAGCATGGTAATACAAAATTATACATTTGTATTTTGAGAAACTAGGAATCTGTTTTTAGAATATATATTTGTATATGTGTATACAAAGAATAGTTAACTAAATCAACTAAATAATTAAAAGCATTAGAATTGCTTTTGACAAATTTTGTATTATTGTTTTCCATTGATGTAATTTTTTTTCTTATTGGCTTCTACTTTAGTTTTTGTCCATGTAATGACTTACTACAACAATAAAAATGTGCTGGTATGCACAGTCGCATCATGGATTTTGTAAATACTCATGGGGGACATATTGCTCTTCTAATACTGATCAATAACAACATGTGTTCTTTTTGTACATGGACAAATTTTGCTCTAATGCTTCCTTTTCTGTTCTGTTTCAGTATTTCTGAGATACCTCAGTTCCGGCTGCCATACGATGTAGTGAATTTTGAGACTGAGCTTATGAAGGACCTTGGCGTAAAGGTGAATGAGAAACATAACATCTGTCTGTGGGTTTCTTAAAAAGATAGGCGTAAATTCCACACTGGAGACTCACGGGCAATTGTGGGCATTTTAGGAATGAACAATTAAAAGCTACACCAGGCTGAGCAGTGAGATGCTTCCCCTTGCTTAGGGCATTTGTCTGTCTACCGTCTGAATGCCACTAGCCTGGAAAAGGGCAATCAATAGTTCTCATCTAGCACACCTGCATGTGATTAATTGCCTGTAAGAAACAAATTCCTAAATTGCTTTAGGGGTTCGTTCAGTGCAGCCAAGAGAAGGATCTGGTTTCGTTAATCATGCTTTGTTCAGGCAAGTTGTGTACACTTACTTTGAAATATTAGTATTTCAAAATTTGGAATGCAATTTCTTCCAGAAGGTTATTTTATTTATTATATGGGCCATACTATTCTTGTTAATGTCACGATCCCTTATCAGCATAAAAAATAGTGAGGAATAAAGCAATTAATTTTATATTTTTTGATCATTTTTTCCAACTAAGTAGTGTGTTGTTCTCTTGAAGATGGACAAAATGTTGACATACCTACAGAATATGACTTCACCTGCTCTCCTTTTTGTGTGAACAGTGTTATACTGTGAACATACTACTTCACTTACAAATATTACATACTTTTAATCTTCAATTTTTCATACTTCACAGAACAATAATGTATCACCATGTACAAGTGGGTGTAGAACATAATTTGAAAAATGATTAGAAAGCGCCTCTAAAATGATTAGAAAGCGCCTCTGAATTTTTCTTTTACCGAAAAAAAAAAAAACAAAAATAATAATGGAAAGCAAATCAATAGTTTGGGCTTTTACATTCATTTTATACTTCTTTATATTTTATTTGACTTGATTAAGTTATGAAACATCCACATATAATTACTCAACAAAAAGTCAAATGGAAAAACTGTGGGTTGGCCAGGTTTGGTGATGCACACCTTTAGACTTTAATCCCTGACAAAATTTACTATATTATTGAGAAAACTGGAACCTGAAAAGAGGACATTACCTGTATTTTGTCCACCTCCTAGGTTGTTTTAAGATATTAAAGGAGTAAGGTATTCAAACTTACTCTGAGAAGAAGGTGTTGTGTTTACATGTCTGAGGAGAGCCAGCCATAGAACTTTTACTTAGGGTCCAAGGATGGGATACTCTGGCAGCATCTCTGAGCTGCTCACCTTGGCCATGAGGTGCTCTTTTTTTGAAAGTAGATGGGCTTGTTATCCTTTTTTTTTTGTCATTTAGACACTTCCTATAATCTACCTTCTGCTTATTTTAGCTAAATTATATATATTTAACTTGACAACAATTTATAGAGAATAAAGTTTCCTCTGTGTTTGTACTGTTTGACTTCTGTGCATAATTACACACATGCATATGAATACACATATAATAATAGCTCATTAGTTTTCAGAGTCTCCTTATCTCATTTTTGTTTAATTTCGTCAACAAAGAATTATTTAAAATTTAATTTTGACAACTAATGTGCTAAGATTAGAACCATCACCTGTCTATCCAAAGAATAAAAACTAATCATGTGTAGAACATAAAGATCTTCACATTTCATAAATTTTTTCAAATGTATGTTTGCTATTTCCCAAAATATTTTGACGGAACTTTCTATTAAGTTTCAACTGTAATTATGTCACATTCTTGTGAACATCAGTTTTTAGACAGTACCTAATAGAGATCTCTTGCTTCATAACCCCTCCATAGCATCATCTTATTTTCCATTGGTATCTTGAAGGAAGAACTTCTATTATTATGCAAAGATATTGAGAAAAGATTTATAACATATCTGCTAGAAGAAAATATACATTAACAGCTGACAAAGTAGTATGTTTTTAATCTAAAGACAAACATTATTATTATTTATTTTTAAATCTAGTATTTTATTTTTTATCTATGAGATTTTAAAGTTTTCAGGCTGTTGGAATAAAACTTTTGTCAGAGAAAATACAAGGAACATGTAAGACTTTGTATTTTTTACAGTAAATATTGCATATTTCATTTGAATTAAGAGCTATACTTTAGAGGCTAGAGAGATGGCTCAGCAGTTAAGAGCACTGGCTGCTTTTTCAGAAGACATGGGTTCAAATCCCACAGCCCAAACAGTGGTTAGCAACCAGTTAATGGAGATATGACACCCTCTTCTTGCCTCTGGGCCCTGCATGCATGGGTGCACTTAAATACACGAAGGCATAATAGTCACACGCTAAAATAAATAAATAGTTCTTTTTTTGATATTTTTTGAGACAGGGTCTCCTTGTAGCCCCAACTGGCCTGGAACTCACTATGTAGACCAGGCTGGCCTTGAATTCACAGAGATCCGCCTACCTCTGCCTCCCAAGTGCTGGGATTAAAGTCCTGTGCCACCATGCCCAGCAATAAGGTTCTTTTAAAAAAGAGTTTCACTCTGAACAAATATCTATATTTATCTGCAATAATAAATGTTATTACATATATGAATATATATTATTGATAGATGAAGAAACTTGTAATAGAATGCTAATATATCTGGCATTAAAAACGTCTGGTGGAACAAAGTAGTAGTGATTACATTCGATGTGAAATAGGGTAAATTTTTATTCTGAATTTAGCTAGAAAGTATCTAATTGTAGTACTAAGATTAGAGGTATGAAGAGTGGTAATTTTATCTAAGACAATCAAGACAGAAAGCACAGCATATTTAAAAATATAGGAAATATAAAATAAAAAAAAACCTGACCATCATTTGCTTTCTTAACATTGGACAGAGTTAACATAATATTGAGTTTTCAGAGCATATCAGCTATAGAACTTTTATATCACTAGATGTCTTATAATACTAGTTATTGAATTTTCTCAATTATAATGTACAAAACAAGATCTTCCTCTTAGTTCTTTCTGTAGTAGGTTATTGGATGGAAGATTTTCAGTGATTGAGACTTTCAGTAAAGGGAAATTTGAATAGATTTACTAGCCCAGAAAGGAAGCATTAAGCTGCCTCTTAGACCTCTGATAGCCTATTGTCCTGTCCTTCCTTTCAGCATGGACTACTGCCCAAAAATGCTAAGCAGCCATCTTTCAGAGTGTCTGTCCATCATAAAGTCAAATCTTGTTGATCTCAGTCATATTAGATTAACATGATATGCCAAAAACCTTCCCAGCTTTTATACTAAGAAGGGAATGTCAACTTTTTCGCTTTCTTAATGCCTATTGAAATGGAGTTAGACTCTAGACACACAAAATGTCTGTGCATCTGTTTTATACGTTGCAAAAATCAAAAGCATGTTCACTCTGCCATGGTGGAAGGACTGGGGTGCCCTAATTTTTACTTAATAAATCACTCAAAATCATGACTGAAGTCAGCATCAGTGGTATATACACACATGCATCATTTCTGAAAGGTTGACAGGTCTCATTGGATCATCTTGCTGAGGTAGTGGAAGAGCTAAACTTAAGATAATCTATGCTGAGAATTAACCCATTGATGGGCCATCAACTTCTTGGCTTGAGGAACTGAATTTTTATCCAGTTTGCTAATATTTTATTCAGAATGTTAAGACCTTATCCATACTTTATTACACATTTATGTTATTATTTAATTCATAAAAATAAATAATGGAATTCTTTAATTTTCATTTTTAATTTAAAACAGCACACATTCTTTAAAAGTTAGAATAAATTTAAATTCTAACCTCGTTAATAGGATATAATTCTGCTACTTCTGATTGCATTATTTACCACTAGGTACCACTAGATTCTTTTCACAGTACATATTTATTTAATTTTATAGTTTACTACTTGGTACTTGCTGCATTCCAGAGTTGTGAGTTCTTATTTATTATTTCACCTCTTTCCTCCTACTAGAAATTTCTCAACATTTACTCTGTCTACTAATATAAAAAATAAAATTAGCATTTTTTTCGAAGCAAAAGGTGGCCCAGTAGGACTTTTCCCAGCCGTCTTAAACCCACGCTTCTTGCTCCCTTCCTTGACTTGCACTTATGCTCCTGATGCTACATTTTTCCAAGATGGTCTTCATACACATCACACTATTGTCTCTGAGGATGATGTCAGCTCTCCCCTTCATTATTCCTTTAACCCTGAGAGGCATGAAGGCATAGCTGTTGAACATTCTTGTTAGGAATTTAGACTATGTGACTTTGACAAAGTTGTCCAGCGTCTTCTGTCTTCCTCCATCATCATCTTCAATATGAAGATAGGGCAGCTGGGCATGGTGGAACACGTCTTTAACCCCAGCACTCAGGAGGCAGAGGCAGGTAGATCTCTGTGAGATAGAGGCCAGTCTGGTTTACATACATAGCATATATCAAGTCAGCTGGGACTACAAGGAGACCTTGTCTCAAAAAGAAAAAAAAATACAAAAAAAACAACAAAAGCCCCCAAATATGAGGATAAAGAAAACATGTGGAAGGGCTCTTGTGATTATGAAATGAGTTAGTACATGCAGTAATTAGAAAAGAACCCTACATGTACTTAGTGGTCTGTATATGCTAGCTGTAGTCATTATTCTTTCACTGATAAATATTTTTCTTCTACGACACAGAAAAGAGTCTTTAATTGTTAGAAATCAGCGCTCCCCATCCCACCTGACACTAGATATGATGTAGTGTTTGAGTAACTCAGTCAGGTCTCAGATATTTACATGTGGGCTTCCAAGCTGTGATAGCTACTTCAGCTCTACTACACGGCCCAGTTGATATAGTAGAGAATTATTTCAACTGACAAGTGTAACAATGTCAATTATGTGTTTGAAGACTAAGAGAGTGCTAACTGACAGGGTCAGTGTCTCAGAGGGCTCACTGGGGCCCAGACTTGAGTCAGGCTCCATTTTATCTCTCACATAGGTCTCTCTATGTCTCAGGGTATCATTTTCAATGAGGATCCTGGGTCTAACAACCCTTGAAATGTCTGGTTATCCCTGTTCCTCTGGTGCACACTTACATTGGTCAATGGTCACTATTGCCTTTGGGGGTGCCCCGGGTAATTGTTACAGTATTTACTTGCGAGGATAATGCAGGATCCAATTCTCTCTCATTCAGCAGGTTTCCCACTGGAAAACTGATTCATGAATCAGAGATGACTCAATGTGCAAAGGCACTTGCCACCAAGCCTGATGCCCAGAGTTCAATCCCTAAAAACCACGTGTTGGAAAGAGAACTGACTCCCACAAGTTGTCCTCTGCCCTCCACACATGTGCTCTCTACCTAGTGTCACCCCCAAAATAAATAAATAAATAAGTATACTATTCTTTTTTTAGTTGACTTATGTTAGGCATCAAAGAAAGTATTGTGATTTGTAGTTAAAGTAAATGCTTTGTCTCCGCACTTTGTTGGTCTTCTCTGGACAGTATCCCCTGTGGAAGCCCTACTCTTTGTAAGGACCTTATTGAAACTCCCCTGCACTCTCATCCTTCTGACTATGGCTAGAGTGAGTCTTTATTCTCTGAGCTCCCTCACATGTGAACATGTTGTGATTTTATGCTACACTTACCAGCATCATCTTCTGTCTTTACTTGACTTTTTGGAGGCAGCTATAGTGTCTCCATTAGTTTCATCTTTCTCTCTTAATTGCTCAACCTGCTTTTAATATATGCAAGCTGAGGTTTACTAATTTTAGTGTAGTTTTTTTAAATTTTATTTTTAAAGTTGTCATAAAAAGAACTAGTTTCCTTCTGATCTTTCCATATATACTTAGGTTTGCTTGATTCTTCTCAATGCTATGCAGTATCCCACTTCCAAGTCACACGTGTTCTGTTACATTTTCCACCCTCGCATTTAAATTCTCTTTTCTCCCCTCTGATGGGCTCCTTTCTAGTTCCCCAGATTTCACCCAAACTCTCACAAAAATACACAGATATGAAAATCAGCAGCTCAGATCCACAGATGAAGGAGAGTGTGCTGTATTTCCTTTTGGATTGTCTTTCTTGGTACAGTGTTTTTCAGTTACATACATTTTATAGAACTTTCAGATTTTCATCTTACTGTGTAGTTGAATAAAGCATAGTGATCATGCACCACATTTCTGTTTCCACTTATCTGTTGGTATACATCCAGAATGATTCTATTTCCTTGCTGCTGTCAATAGAGCAGCGAATAAACATGAACCTGCTAGTGTCTCCACGGCAGGCTACAGAGTCCTTTGGGTATATGCCCAGGAGTGGGATAGCTGGGTCATATGGTAGTTCTATTTTTATTTTACTAACTTGATTTTAATTATATGGGCTTTTCAGCTTTTCTCCCACTAAGAAAACATAGTGTTCTAATTGTATATTGTTTTCTTTAAGCAAGTTTGCTTTATTAAAATCCATAAATATTTACATGTATAGGATTTTATAGACATTTTACTGAATTCATTTGATGTTAAATATTATGGTTTTAATTAATCAAATATTAAAATATTATTGCTCAAAATATTGTTCCTCACAGATAATTTGCGGCAAAAGCCTGTCCACGAATGAAATCACTCTTAGCACTTTGAAGGAAAATGGCTTCAAAGCTGCCTTCATTGGAATAGGTGAGTAGCTTACTTCTAAATATTCTTCTTCATTTTGTAATACTAAGAAAATTCCTGACAGTATCAAGTAGAATGAATGCCTTCAGATATTTTCTTAACAGAAAGTGCATCTTCCCCCACTAACACACAGTGATGACTGCATACGGCTCGGTAAACGCTGTGCTGCTTCATGGATGTTACACGCAGACTTTGGTCTTGTCATCTCCTCTCTGCTCTGGCTTCACCAGTGGTGGTCTGTATGAAGCAGAATGCCCGCCATGCTGGAGAAGCTCCAATTGGCTGCATCTTTCTCTATATGGCAATACCATTTACTTAACTGATAATGAACTGCAGACTTGGCCATTCTTACTATTCAATTTATAAAGTCTCCAGAAACTTTTGGAAAGTATCCCACAGATATTGAGTGCTCCAACATTTTTTCCTCCATTTATTTATTGAGAGACCAGAGATAACAAATAGTTGATTTAATTTAGTCTTTGTGTCATAAATTCCTATTTTATTTCATATACTATTGCGTACTCTGAAATATTATGACATGTCAACTGAGCATGTTAAATTGTTAACCATTTTTAATACAAGCCCACCCTCTTGCCTTTTGCTCCGTCTCTTCTTTGAATATCAAATATTAAATCTGCATAGATACAAACTTTCCCATCTCTTTCAGTGACCACATATAGGGTAGCATGGGGGGGGGCTCTCCTTTCATTGTATTTGTAGAATGCTATTGTCATTAAGGCTTCTCACTCATCAGAGTTTGTTTATCAGAATGCATCCTATTATCGTACTAGAGTATTGTAACCAAGTCCAAGGGGAGCTGTGTCAGTAGTTGTATTCAGGTAAATAATTATGGAGAAGGGAGTAAATCTGTATGGTCATCTAGTTCCAGTTTGGAACCTCCTTTCAGAAACTTGTAGTGCTGTTGTCATCAGGATTCTTCTATATTATCTTTACTTAACCAGTGACCTTTGTGTACAGTAATAATGGGAAGGAAAAATATGTGATTTTCTCCTAGATTTCCTGTTTAAAGATTTAAAAAATATTCTATTCATATTTTATGTGTATGTGTGTGTTTCCTGCCTATATGAAAATGTACCTTTGTAATGCAGTACCTCTGGAGGACAGCAAAGGGCTTCGGATCCCCTGGAACTGGAGTTACAGATGGTTGTTAGCCACCATGTAGGTGCTAAGAACTGAACCTGGGGACTCTGCAGGAGCAGCTCTTCACTGTTGAGCCCTCTCTCCAGCCCTAGGTTTCACTTTTAAAGATACCTAGATTGTAGGTTTGCTTTTCGATATTATGTTTGTATTGAGAATAAAAAAAAATAGAGCAAGTACCTAGAAAGTGTATTCTCCTGATCTCAGCAGTGTTGGGTCTTTAGGAGTTCCTGCTACTCTTCATCTACATAAGATCAAAAGTTCTTGGTTCGTGGTAAGTGTCTGAAATACTGGTGGTGCTATCAAGTAGCACTAAAATTCAACTACGGAAGTAACACATAAAAGATGTCTTCCAGTATTAGAGTAATAGTGTCTAATACAGTTACATGCCTCTCTACGTACTTTTCTACAAAGAATATCTGTATTGAGGAAATATTGATCAAGCAAATACTCCCAAGAAAGAGGGTCAAATTAATTGCATAAGAATTAGTATATTGTAAAAATTTAGAAGTCACATACCATAAAAGTACCTTCAATTTGAAAGAACCAATGATATTTCAGGTTTTTCTTTGAATTCTTTCCATTAAACATTGTTCGTTTCTCATAGTTCCATGGGGTTCTCAAGACGTGTCTCCATTTAACTCTGCACTGTTTGAATGCAATACTTAAAATATGAAGCCTTTTCATATTTATTTTGTGCATTTCCTTGTTGCAAAGTGAATCCTCTGACATTTGGGTGATGGCGGAATGCAGTTATGTTCTATTTCAGTATTTTGTATGAAATATACACAAGAAAGTTTCATCTTGTCGGGAATGAAAAAAGCTTTGCCTGTATGAGAGAAGTAGTCATATCATTTAGGAAATTCTCGTTTGACATTCTTGATTGTCAATTTGGGAATTTATGACCTTTCTCTTACCATATAACTGTCTGCTACTTGGACAGGCTCACATCCTTACATGCCTTTGTTCATTACCTTTGCATCTGTAACATAATTAAACCACTCATTTAGTCTTTCGAGTCTTTCTCACTAACTTTTAAAGAGGTAGCATAGGAATTGAGCATTATTTGGGATGTATGCTTGATTGCTTTTAGAAAACAATAGAGGGGCTGGAGAGATTGTTCAACAGCTAAGAGCACTTGCTACTCTTACAGCGGACCTGGGTTCAGTTCCCAGCACCCACATGGTCACTAACAGCCATCCATAACTACAGTTCCAAAGCATCTGATGCCCTCTTCTGACCTCCATAGGCAATGCACATATATGATGAAATTACATACATGCAGGCAAAATGCTCATAACCATGAATCTAAAATAAATATTAATAAATATTTTTAAAGAGAACACATACAACATGCACTTTGTTTTCTCATGGAATGTAGTCAACTATCTTTGATAGACCACTTACATCTTCTGTCTGTGGGTGATCATCATGTCCATGAGTGATAGAGATCAAGGCAACACTTTTCCTTGGGTTTATGATATATAGACTGTATATATCACTTCTTTTTTGATCTCATTGCCTTCAACCTCATCCTATAGCATACCTATCAGCCTAGGATGCTTGGAAATGTATCTGGTAGGTAACTTGAACATTGAACTTCTAATATTATAGAGACAGAGAGGACGGAGACACATGATGGTCTCTTCCACAGTGTGCAGTGACTATGGTGTTTGACAGGTGAGACCTTTAGATCACCTAACAGGAAAGAAAATGTTCCTAGTACTTTGGTTTCTGCGTTGTACATGGCAGTTGAATGAAAATGGGAATGCTTTCTTGTTTTGTGGTGGGGTATTCCATAGACATAGTTCTGTATGTATAACTGCTATCTTTACGTTACTTTATCAAAATACAAATATTTTATTAGATATAACTTTGTAAGAAGTTCAATAGACACATTGAATAAACACACCTGTGTTCTCATGGCTCCTCACTGTAAATGTTTTATTTCTGAGGGAAAAAGCATTTTTATACTTTTCTCCCTAACCAGTGCTAATGGAATTTACTAAGGCAAAGATCTCATTGTCTGTGTATTATTAGACACTTAAAGAGTTACAGCTCTTCATCCATGAGATATTCAGTATCTTCTAACTAGTTAGATAAGGCCTAGTGTTTATTCACATTGAACTTAAATAAAAGCACCTGAACAATGTGTTACTGTCGCTGTTCAGAAGTGGAGGTATAGCATTTGTGGTCACTGAAAGAGATGGGAAGGTTTGCATCTATGTAGATTTATATTAATATTCAAAGGTGAGACAAACATAAGCACCTCACACAACTTGAAGAGCTGTTTGTAGAGGTGCACAGCAAATGGGTATTGTTTAATTTGGGGCAAGTCTCTTCTAGAGCCAGGTGTAAGGAGGCACTGTTGTAGATGACTGAGGAGCTGGCCCCTCCTCATTGGTTTCAGATTTCTGATCATTCAACTGGTAGTTAAACTTGGATGCTCACAAAATGTGGTAATGCTCAGAGGAAGGCCAGCAACATGGTAGAGATGGACTGAAACTCCCTCAGAAAACCAGCACAATGTTCATGTAACTGCTATGGTGTGTTTTTTTCCGTTTACCTTTTGAAATTTCAAAAAAGGAAAAGAATACAGGAAAATCTATCCTGAAATCCTCTATGACTGTCACAGGAGACACTCTGGGTCAGCAGGATCAGACAGATGCACTGTAAAAATGAACATTTACTCTGTCACCGTAAGGCACTTTACTTGTGTTTATCTGAAAGTACTCCTTTAATCACTTTTGCCTAACAGCAATCCTATTTCCTACTGCCCCTGTACCTTCGCACCTTCCTACTTAGTCCCCTGGGCCACATTGGCCATGTAACAAATAGTGCTGTTGAGAAGTCAGGAAGTCACGCTGTTCCCTTGGAGTTTCTTCATCCAATCTTACTTCTGTGTGGACAAAGAAGACTGTGGGACTGTGGATGTATTTCAGTGGTTGAGTGTGTGCCATGCTTGAGGCCCTGGGTTTGATCTCTAGCACCACAGAAAAGGCCTTAACGAAGCACCTAGCACACAGTAGAGGTTCGCTAAGTATTTCATAATTATTGGGTTTTATTGAACCCATTTAAAAATGTTGGTGATTTTTAAGTATTCTGATATTAACCAAACTTGTGATGGGAATACTTTTACTTTTTATAAGGTTGGTATTATATTAGTAATGAAACAAGATTAGTGTCATTAGCAAGGCAGTATTTGCAGCTAACTCTGTAACATTGATATTATTCTCTTCTTAAATAATCCATCCTGGTAACTCTTAAAATGGCTTTGGGAATAGATATGATTAGCATTCTTTTATGGAAACAAAAGTGAAGTTTAAGAAAAGCAAAACAAAAATAATAACAACAAAATCCCCGAAAGCAGCCAGCAAATGGCCACTAAACATGGAAAATGGATTTTATTGGGAGAGTAACAATAAATTAGCAAATGTCAATATCGATGTTTCAAGGTTAAAAGGCTTTTCTACACTCAAGATTGAAAGCCAACCTGTTTTCTTAAACACCTCCCTGCATTGTAACACCCCACTTCAGGTTCTTGAACATGGTGACCTTACACTCTTGAAGAGCTGGTTTTTATATTGAACTTCAATTTCTCATTGCATCAACCAACTGAATTCCTTTTCTTTCACTCAATTACTAGAAGAAAAGAATATTTTTGTAAAGTGAAGATTACCAAATATTATAACAGCTAAAGAGGAGATAATTACAATTAAGAAAATCCATTGAGAGATTGTGGTATTAACTTTGCTATACTGTGGCCTCTACTTAAATCTCTTGAGCCTTCCTGGAACCAGAACCCTTTTCTGCAAAAGTTATTCTTAATTAGTTTCTTAATCAGG